CATGCACGCAGGAAGTGGGGCTCCCGAGGGGACGCTGGGCAGAGCCACCCCGGAGTCGGCAAGGGCGGAGAGGACCCTCGGGAAGACAGCGCCCAGTGAGCGGTCCCGGCCCGGCCCCTCGGAAGGCGAGTGCCGCGGGGCCCCTCTCGCGCCTCAGGCCTTGCTGGCTTTGTTTTCCCAAGCCTGAGCTCAGGGCAAAGAGGAACCTGGTGTGTGAGCACCCCTGGGGACCCTGGCACCTGGGGCCCCCCCAGGCGCTCCCCAAGGGGCCCCCGGGGCGGGCTGCATGCACTCACCGCTGTCGCTGCTGTCCGAAGCCAGCTGCCCGTCGTGCTCACCTGGGGAGGGGGCTGGTGAGGGGCTGCACTCCCCACCCCGAACCCCCAAGCCCGCAGGGGAGGAGGCGGCCCTGCCAGGAAGCCCGGGAGCCCCTGGGGCTCAGCCCCGAGTCCACCACCAGCCCTCTGCTGGAGCGCCTGTCCATCGCGGGGCCTCCCGCTGCCCCTGGGCCCAGTCGCAGCCCACAGGTGCCGCCTGGCGGTGAAGTGAGCGGGCAGGGAGCCACCCAGGCATGCCGTTCCCCCCTGGAGCACAAGGGGTCAGCATTTCCTCAGGAGGGTCTGAGCCGGTCTGAGCTGACCTGCACCGGCCGCTCCCTCCTCCTCCCAGTCCCGCCACAAAGGACAGCTGACTGGCCAAGGCCTCTGGAGGACGTGGACAAGAACCCTGGGTGAGGTCAGAGGCATGCTGTCCACTAAGGGCCCACGGTGGAGCAGTGGCCAGGCTCGGAACTGGACATGCCCCCCCAGCGCTGGGCCAGCTGCCTCCGCGCCAGCCCCCAGGAGACCTGGGCCTCAGGGGACCGCCCGCCCCGCCAGCCTCCGTCCAGTAAAAGCACCAGCTTCACGGGCCTGCACGCCCGTCTGTCAGGGACCACTGGACACAGGGGCAGAGAAGCACGCGCCCACACCCCTGCGTGAGGGAGGGTCCGGCACGGCCCTGCCCAGGGTGGGGGCAGGCTGGGCTCCCGAGGAGGGGCAGCAGCCCCAGCGGCCAGGGGTCTCCAGGGGGTCTGTCCGGGGCGCACGGCCTGCACGGATGCACACCCCACGCATGCTGGCCGGGCGCCTGCCGTGTCCGGCCGCACGCATGTCCACGCACACACATGTGCGCGGCCGCCATCTGCCTGCTGCCCCCTGCATGGCCAGGAGCGGGGGCGGGGGACGGCCGGGGGAGAAAGCCCAGGCTGAGCGGGGAGGAGCAGGACAGGGCGCGGGAGAGGGCGTTTGGCTCCTGCACCTCCACCTGGCTGGTCTAGCAAGTTCTCGGGTATCCACAGTCCCTGCACACCAGAGATTCTATGTCTGACCCGCCGTGCCCAGGGCCCTGCCCGGCAGGAGCAGAGTGAAGGGCTCCCGAGGACAGCGGGCCGGTGCCACCCGGGGCCCAGCCCCAGCTGCCACCCCATCCCAACTCACGGGAGGGACCCCGCCTGCACCGCCAGGAGCCCCCACACCCTTCCAGAGGCCCTGGGCCCCTTCCAAGACCTTCTGGCCACGCCGCAGCCGCGAGGGGTGGAGAGGCAGGGGTCCCCGCCGCCCAGAGGCCACCCAAGTCTGCCCACCTCGGGCCCTGCCACACCCGGCCCTGCTCACTGGGACCACCTGCAGCTGCCTGCTGTGCCCTGACCCTCACTGGCCCTGTGCCCCGGGATCCCGCTGCGGTGCCGAGATCTGGCCCCTCTGGGCAGCCGGTGGGGTCCAGGCGCCCACTGGGGCGCCCCCAGGCCGTGGGACCCCCGGAGAGCGCCCATCCCCAGGGCTGCTCCCGCAAGCAGGCCACCTTACCGGCAGGGTCCCGGGGGAGGCCCTGGGCAGGCTGGCAGCCGGGCCCCGCTGGGGTGGCCGCAGCGGTCAGGACTGCGAGCAGCAGCAGCGGTGGGGGCGGCATGGTGGGGGCCCTGCAGTGATGTGGCACTGGGCTGTGAGCACTCCCGCCCCCCGGGGTGCGGATCGGGTTACAGCCGGCCCAGGCGGGAGGGGAGGGGAGGGGTGGGGTGCAGGCGGAGCAGGACAGAGAGGCTCTGAAGAGGCCGCCCACGCCCACGGAGACGCCTCTGGGGCTCAGTGCCCCAGGGCAGTGGGGGTTGGCCACAAAGCCCCTGCTGGTCCCTGGACAGGACAGGGCAGGTCAGGGCCCCGTGCGGGCGCCGACCCCCGCTGGCAGCCCGGCCAGGGCCCTGCTCTGGGCCCCGAGGGAGCGAGGGCCTGTCCCTCCCCTGCCCTGTCCTGGCCTCCATGCCCTGGAGGCCCCACTGGTGGGGACAGCCAGCTGCCTGCGAGCGCCTCTCCTGAGGCCCCTGGGCACAGACACCCTCCTGTGCGCTGGGACTCGGCGGGACTGACCCTGCCTTGGGGGGCAGGTGGCGGCCACAGCTCTGGTGTCCCCAGAGGACGAGTAGAGGAGATGGGGTGGGTGAGGAGCCCAGCCACGCCTTTGCAGCCAGCCCCATCCGCAGCAAGACTGACCACAGCTGCTGTCCAGCCGCCACCGTAGTGGGCCTGACCCTGAGCCCAGAACAGCAAGGCCAGACATGGGGCCCACAGCCCAGCAGTCACCCAGGCCGGTCCCTCCCCCGCCCCCACTGGCCAGACCTCCTGTTTCTAGATGTTTCCTTTATCGACGGTCCTGGGCAGCAAGGACGGTGCCAGGGACACTCGGCCCAGGGGCGGGAGGGGGCAGGGCAGGGCCTTTGTGGGGCGCACGGACCCGCCTCCCACACCTGTCACCCCCAGTGCTGGCGAGCCTGGGGCCACAGAGCAGCAGCGTGGACTGGGAGCCAGGGGGAGCCGTGCTGGCGGCCAGCACGGTCAGGCGCTTGGTCGCCACCGGGACAAGCCTCGTGTCCGGGGAGCGGAGTCTGAGGCCAGCAGGGCGGGCGCCGGCATGGGGCCGACCCTGACTGCCCGCAGTGGCCACGCCGCCCGCAGCGCCTTTGGCGAGGGGAGGGCGCGTGGACAGAGGCAGCGTGACCCCCCGCCAGAGTCCGGCAGCGAAGGCGGTGCAGCCGGGTGCCCGGCCTCGGCGCAGGCGCAGCAAGCAGGACG